TGCACTGCTGACCTCTTTTCAATAGGGGCCAGATTAGCATGCAGCAGTGCTGTGTGGCTCATCGCTGTGGTGGTGGAGCGCTTTTGTCCCCCGGTGGTAATCCGCTTGCTCTCAATGCCCCAAACCCTGGTATACAGTTTCAAAATAACGCTGAATTATCACCACTTTTGAGAGTGAAAAATGCCGGTAATGCCCAGCAGCCTGGTCTTTTGTTTTGAGTACAGTCTTTCGTTACAGGGCCCTGTTTCCTTTGTCCGAGTTTGGAGACCCCGGCCACGCATATAAACCATACGGCTCTGATTTCGGAGTCCCCGGCTGGTAGTGGTTAATAACTGTGGAACATTAGTGTTGGGCACAGCAAATGATGTCAATGATGAAATGGCTGCTCAGACGTAAGGCAGCAGTAAATTGACGCTCTTTTTTTCTGGTGTCTACAGAGTAAGGGAAGTTGCTGCTGTTTTTATTTCTAATATACATGTAAATTGTGAAGCTGTTGTTCTTGCAGAAGAATTTTTGAAAGAAAAATATCCCCCTTAGGGAACAAATTTCAAAAATGTATCGGCCCTCTCAGTGTTACTGAGATTACAAATGCAAGGTGCAGAAAACTTATATTTCCATTTCATTGCTTACATCAGCACCAGATAAATTCACAGCATGTTGGGGGATCTTTTGGCATGAAGCCAATAATCAGCCAAAATTACAGTGCATGTGATTGGCATGCTTGATAGGCAAAGTGGGAAACACTGTATGGCAGTGGCAGTGCTTATCATTTTGCAGACAAAGTTACCAGTCTTTCAGAATCGCTAGAAGCTGTATGGAATTTAATAACGACAATGAAATCAATCACTTCCAGCAGTAGATTCCTTTAAAACAATGGAATTGCCAGTCCAATTCCAAGTTTGGAATCGATTCTTCTTGATTCCGGCATGGATTCACCCAAGCCCAGTTGACAAGGCTTTAAAACATGCAAGGAATCAACGATTCTGATTTGGAAATGAGGTGTGTGTAGATGAAGTCTGGTTTAACCCCAACCCCCTTGGGTGTATTTGGGACTACATGTAGCTATTGTGTTCACAAACTGCCCCTGTATTAAAACCTTTTTTATTAATTCCCATAACCTACATGTACACGTAATTCCTAGGAAAATTGATGCTTGTCTTTTGATGCAAAAACATACTGATTAATCCGTAAAAAAAGCTTTACCAAAAATGCTTATGAAGTAGCTCAGTTCAGAGTTCTTTTAAATTGTTCTCAATTAGTTTTCTTCCATGTCCATAACTTCTACAGATGAGTAAAAAAATCACATTAAAATTGAACGAGAAAAAGAGGAAGAAAAAAAATCAAATGAAAAAAAAACAATCAATTTGACAATGCCATTCTGTGTGACTTTTTGAGAAGGAATTAACACAGAGTGTGAAGAACCAGCTGCTTCCTACTTAGGTCAAATTTCTGATGGTTTGATTCTTACTTTTGTTTGTTCTTGATATAATGAGCTGAACTTGAAAACAATGAGCCAATCCCATACATATAAGTAGAACGAATGATATCACAAAGTTGAAATACAACTGATGATTAATTGGACACTTACTTAGTAATTAAGAAATGAAGACCTAACACATTGGCTTGCTGAAGCACAAACTACATGTATGTTTATGGTAAGTTTGATCAAAGTGTAGATACTGCAAATACCAATAACAAACAATCCTTCTAAATGCCAAACCCCCCCCCAAAAAAACGCAAACAAAACCTCCAGCAAAACACCCCAAAAAAACAACAAATCACTGTGTAACAAAACAGAGCAACAGGACTATGAGCAAAGTCATGTACATGTAAACATTTGTGACCCGCTCTGCAAAAAAGGGCATTAAGGGACACTGTGCTTTTCACACCAAGGCCTTTTTTATGCGGACAGGGTAATTTTTTTACTTCCTGTTTTTTTTTCTTCTACTATATCAGTACTTCCACAATTCATACAAGAAACCTAACTGTTGCTATGGGTATCAAGAGACTTTTTTCTTAGCTGATTTCTTTTCCACTTCCTGTGTTTAAAGGGCTTTATCTCTGAAAGTAATTCTGTTAATGTGCATGATATGATTATGCAAAAATCAATATATCTCCAGATTGCAAAATGCTACAGTGTTCAACCTATTCCAAATGAAAGCTTATGATGTGACCTATTCAAAAGTGTATGTAACTCATTTTGCAAAAATGTCCCATAATACCCATTTTTGTGGAGCCAGTCACATTTAGTGCACAGAAACAGGCCATGTAATGTCTCTTAAAATGTAACATTGCGGAATTCTATCTGTAGTAATCTGTGTGAAATGGCTTATTCCTACAATTAGTTTGGCCCACCATGTCAGTCCTGGTACAACTTTTATCTTCTATGTCCTCTATCACTTGATAGGTTTTGCCCTAAGCATTATGAGGTCCTGGCTCATCCCCACAGATAAAAAGATTCTTGCTTGTCTTTAGTATTCCGAAGACACTCATTTACAACTGCTATCAACTTCGACAATCCTTACACATTTTCAAAGTCTCCAGAGAATAAATGAATATATGCAAGTTAACTGTGAAGAAAGTCATGTAGTACATGTACATACGATGTATGCTTCAAGAAATTTGTTACCTTGTTTATCGTTATGGTACATGGACAGTCACACTGAAAAAGGTCCCATAACTGCACTTTTTTCACACCACATGTAAAGATAAAATTGTATATTCACAAATATTGCCCACAGACATCATGTACAACAGCTGCAAGCCCAATGGGTTGCAAACTTACTGCATGTTATAAAACCTGAGCTGTCATTAGGGAACTTGGTTGCTATGCCAGGGGGTTTCCAGGCACATCATTTGCAACAGAGAACCTCCTAACATAAATGATGATCGGACATCCTTTTGCAGGGCCAAAAAACAGGAGAGAAAAATGCATTTTAGTACAGAGCAAGAAGAATCTTTAACCTCCCTTGCAACATTTTAATCAAATATAATTGTATTGGAAAACGGAAATGGAAAAAATATCTAACACTTTTCCTGGTACATTAATACTGCAACTGACATCTCAAACAACTAAATACTTGTTGGTATTGTCTTCCTTCATAGATACAGCAATATCTTACCTAGGTGTATTGAGGACTGGCCCAGGATGAAGCTAGTAGGGTTTGTTAGCATCCTTGGGACGCTTCAACTGCACCTTGAGACGTTTCATGCCAATCTGAAAACCATTCATGGTCTGAATGGCTGTCTGTGCACTGTTTGGGTTGTCAAAGCTCACAAATCCTACACACACACACAAAAAAACAAGAGGGGACTTTATTTCAGTACATATGTAACTGAAGAATTTCTTGGCTGCCCTTGGAAGTGACTCATGTGTATGTGGGAAATGCATGAAGTCATTAGTTGGCAAATTCCACGAGCAGGTGCTATGTGTATTTCAGCTAATGCTAAATAATTCAAAGTCATCACATTAGATATTAGTTTCAATATAGGAATATTCTGGAATGAATGGATAATAAGCAAAAGTGGAATTGACTCTCCTGTGGAGTTTTACTTTTAAATACTTTTATCATTTCTTAAAACAACCAATTCCTAGATGTACAATATAACATGCACATATGACAAAATGTCTGTCATGTTACAATTTGATGATGAATGTTTGATTTGATGAATGTTATGAAAGCAATGGCAGGCTGGATTTATTGAGTTATGTTGTGCTTTGTTGTGTATTTTGACTTGCCAATACGTCATAGTGGTGTTGATTCCTAAGGGTAATATTTATACTGAGTATAAGAACATTTAAAGGATAGATTTTTACACAATCCAAATGAGCCTTGAATCCTGTGCAGTAGTACTGTGCATTTAGGACAATGGGTAGGGCAGCAAGGATGTGATGAGAATTATTGCTGTGATAATGCTAAGAGACATGTCATATGGGACAAACTGCAAGAAGTACATGTATTTACGGGGTTCTGTGTCAGAGGAAAGGAGGGGCCTAAATCATTGGCATCTGTCCTCTTTACCAAAACTACATCCCATCTTAGTCTGGCCAAGAAATCTGTGGAATTGTTAAAGAACACACAACTTGCTTCTACCTCCACAAAAATGACACACTCTCTAGTCTCCTTACCTCTTCACACTAGACCTTATTTCTGCAACCTCAAATTCATGCTGCACAACACCAGCAACAATTGACAACAAGTGCAGCATCAAAGTTTTAAAACTGAGGGGCATGTTCAATTATGCAATACATGTGTCGGTTCTGGTACACCCTGTATCTTTCATTTGGTACCTTTCGTTGATGGCATGCATGCGGATCTGCAATGTATTTCTCTCCTTAATGTAACAGTGATATGTGACAGTAGTTGTAAGTAGTTTTACAAAAAGATGAAAGTGGAAGTCAAGTTAACATCAATCCTAATTACTTCTACTGTCATTTTTTTTATGAGGCCAGCATGACAAAATATCAATTTTCGTGTGGAATTGCCCAAGTGTCCTCATACACTGGCTCGTACACACTAGTTAGGCTTTTGCTCACACAACTCAATCTCCTGCAAGACATGGCTTCCCAAGTATCCCAGTTAATGTTGCATCTGGTGAAGTAAGTCTTCTGCATTAGAACAGTTTACTGTTACCAATGTTCTCCACAATGGCTCTGGACACATGCTTAATCATAGCTCTAGTGCCACAGAGTTGCTTCTAGAGCTATCAGAAGGCAGTCATCATCTGTCATGTGTGCTACATAACCAGATGGCGATGCCATGGCCTTGACAACTGCATTATCAATGCGAATGACACATTTAGGGTTGGCAATCACCTACTATCCACACTGCATGATCAGACAGCATGTGACTTTGACAATTCCTGCACCACATGACCAGAGAGTGAAGATTGGCCTAGCCTATCTGCCTTGAGCAGAAGCACCCCCCAATCCGCAGTTTTAATTGTGCTGGTAGCTATGCAACTGTAATGTTCACATGCATTTCACAGTTGTTTGTGAACCAGCGAAGCGCAGCTCTAACCAAAGGAACATCTGTTAAAGGAATCTGCACCCTTTTTTGGTCCAGCTTGGGGCTCATAGTGTAATGTTCATGTACATATTACTAGCTGATATGGGTCTTTTTTTTTATGTGTAGTGCCCAATTCAGACTTGTTGAACTGCTTCTGTGCTGTGCACAGTGCCCTATTAGGCTATCACAGTATAGTTAGAGTAGGAGCAGCAAAATTAGATTATAATATGGGCCTAATGGCACTAGATTTTTTACATCCACAGCATCTAAGGTTGACTGTACTTGAAAAGAGTTGAGGCTACCCTGATTTTTCTGACGAGAGATTCCATTCAGGAATTTTTCTTGAGTAGAGGGAGTATTTGAAACATCTTTTTTGAAAGCAAGTAGCATAAATGAGTGATGGTCATGTAACCTGTGGGATTGGTAAGAACTGTTGTGCCTAAGCTAGTCAATGTAACTTGGTATGACCCCCCTGTGAATCACGATAAACCTGGCTTTGATGCATCTTTCCTCAAGTGTATCCCATTCCTGATTTTGAACCAATTAAGATGCGCTAGTCTTGTGGCTTTACTCATTAGACACAAATCGTGCTGCCCTACTTTGAATAATTTCAATTTCATGTTGTGACTGTTAATCAAGCTCTGTAGTTCTGCCTTTTTACATCAAGACAATTAAATCATTACAGTGTCTGTGTGATTCCTGTTGACTTTTAAAGAGTTTCCATCCATGGATGGCATACTACACTCTAATGATTTATGAGGGGCCTTACCATAAATTGAATTGTTATTGTAGTGGCAACTAAGGATTTCAGTAAGACAAAAGATCCAGAAATACCGCTGCCAGTAGTGGAAAGGAATATCAAATCGGTAAATTACAACATGTAGCGCAGGGCTTTGTCAACAGCTAGTGACATCTTCAACCATGTATGTGTTTTGTATGCCATGCCCTCCCATGACACTTTGATATGTAAACATGAACTTGAAAGGTTTCTTTACTACATAACTTCAAGTTTGATAAAATTCTGTGCAATAGATGTCATAGGGTACAAACTGTTTCAGTCATATCACACGGCTTTGATTCACCACCAGGAGCAGAATGTTACAATTACAACAAAGTAGCCAATGGGTAATGTATCACCGATATCATAACTGATAATGTATCACAATTGACTGATACTCTATCACCAACTAATAATGTATAACCAATCAGGAGACTTTGAGATGCTTGATGGCAACAAACACACCAGTCTTTTTTTCAGCTGAGTATGCACGTATTGTTTTGAGCATGCGTGCATAGTTTTGAGCATATGCAATATATGCACCTTGAAAAGGGACTGACTGCCACCAGTGTCTCATTCAATCCCATTGACTCACAATGTAGTAGAATTATTAACAAATTATGTATCACCCATCAATAAATAATGTATCAACTCACGATGTATCAAACTTTGATCAACAATGGCTTAGTAAGGGGAAATATAAATGTACATACAATAATTTTTGTCAGATAATTGTTGACATCATTTTGAACATGAAAATGAACATAAATTTGGGGTCCAAAATTAAGACATTATTGTGCCTGTTACACCTGACCTGTGTAACTTAAGACATAGAAATATCATTGAAATTGATTTCAAACTATTTCTGTTTGGCAGGTAATTTGCATTAATTTATCACTCTTTGAAATTAGAATCTGTGTTCTGAACTTACAAAATAATGTCAGAAGTGACAGGGGTAGGAAAACAACCGGACCCCTGATTTATAGAATGACCCATGATTATTAGCTCAAGTATTTCAAAGTGACCCAATGAGAGGAGATAGGTACCTGGCTTTGAGCTTGCCTCAGTGGTGGGTCAGGCTCTTGAAGTTCGGACTAAAAGATATTTGGTTCAACAGAATTAATCTATTCTGTTTGTGCATTTCAACATATTAATTTTCTTTTCAGAGCGAACTTTGTTTGAATATGGTGTCCCGTAATGCATAAATTTGCCTGTAGTGAGCACACCAAATCACCGTAATGTCATGCATACACATACACCTCCATGGCCTATTGATTCTGTTGAAGATCAGTCTTGTACATGTAAGGCCTTTTCACACTAGATAAATCTTAGGGTTGACGTGGGGTTGAAAATCGCCTAAAATTCACACTTGAAAATTTTCAACCCAGCGCCAACGCTGCGTCACCCTGAGATTGACTGTAATCCGAGTTAAAGTCAACCCTGCTCAGGACCAGGGGTAAGATTTTTCAACCCGGGGTTGAAGCTCTCACCCAAGGTTGAAAATGGTAGTGTGAAGAAAAATGGGTTGAATTTGCCTCGGGGTGAGTGTCATGGGAATTTGTCTTGATGTTTGGGTATAAACATTGAGGTGGCAAAGAGCACTTTTTCTGTGCCGAAACCAAAACGATGTGGGTACATTTTTCCACAAATGTGCTGCATTTGTACATTGACACTGCACAATCCCTGCTACGTGGTTTCCGCTCAGCGCATCCCGGCCTTATAACTGTCAACTTTCTTTCATTGGTTGTATTATACATTTTTAATAGTAAACTGTGGCTGAGAGTGAAAGTTCAAAGAAAAAGTAAAAACGGACTGAAGGAACAAAGTAAGAGGAGTGAGGACAAGATCAAGAAGAATGATGAAATGATCCACGGACAGTTGGATGGCACAACGAGAAATTCCAAAGTGTTTGTCAATATGGCTGCCGAGCTGCAAAAGAAAGGCTTCACCAGGTAGATGTCGTAGGGGTGTTAATAAAAAAACATGTCAGAGATAACTTACACCAGATTTTATTAAAAAGGGGAGGACTGTTGACAGGTTACCTGTCAGCGTCAACATTGTCGAGCGTCAGCAAAGCTTCAAGTTATTTGAACACATCATGCAAACATTTTATATTTATGGTATAAATTAAGCTCCTACTTATTTTCTGACATTAATCGGAAATGATATTCGAGTGTGGAAGTTTGAGTGATAAAGTTAGGCTGTCATCTTGTTTTTGAGTGGACAGCAGAGAAAAGAAAGACGGTGGCCACCATACCTCCCTAAAAGTCATTTTCCAGTGAGAATCTTGAAGCAAAGTCGCTGTTTCTTTTCCTAAGTGATAGATAATAGAGTTTCTGATTTTGGGTTTCATCAGCATTAAACATGTTGACACAATGAAATAAATTCAAATAATGAATAAGAATAAAAACTTGAAATTTGACCATTGTAACACCTCCATGATTTTAATGATCAAATCATGTGCGAACTCTGGATTAGATAGGAATTTATTGGATTCCCCACCTGTTCAGTGCTGTGAAAAGTTGAAGAATCCGAAGAGGGAATATAAAAAAACCAAAGACCATAACCAGGCAAGTAGGAAGATGACTCTCCAGGGAAGGGGGCGGAAGAATAAGATCTTTCTAAAATTTCTAATTTTTCCGATGTGATCTCAGTAAATTTTAACACACGGCTACAAGTACTCTCTACTCTGAGAATGCAAATTACACAACTTGTTTTGGAATTGGGAGGCCTGGCCCCCCACTATATTTGGGGGGGGGGCTATTGCCAAACCCCCCCTTCCTACATGCCAGATAACAGAAACCTAACAGGAGGGTCCGGTAAAAAAATTCCATTTTATGATTTGGTTGATCATGTGATAGCCTTCTGCACACCATCCAGCCACCCATACTGCACGACATGGCAGCACTAGAGCCAGACACACCAGCAACAGATGATGACAAGCATGGGGCATCTGCAGAAATTCTTCAACCATATGCCTCATTAGTGAATGCCTATGGATGAAAATTTAAAAAAAAAAATTAAATACGATGCAAGTTGTTATTTGGTATTATAAAAAGAGTATTTCTGGGCCCCTTTCATACATAGGGAAAAAAAGTTAAGCAGGGGCCTACATCATTCACATGTTTGCATCGGCATAACACCCACTTCTAGTTTTTTAATAGTTATTACCGTTAAAATCTAATTGTGAGAACTGGTCATTTTTTTATGCAAATAAAATTCAATTACATTTTGTATTTGAATTATGTAAAAATTTATGTTGGAACTTAAGAAAAAATAAAATGACATTTCTTGAGTGACATGTATAATGAACTCACAGAGGAAGGACACATGATCAGTGATGATGTACCACGACACTACACTTTATGGTTATGGTTAAAAAATCTCTTTCTTCACATTTAACCTACAGAAGATGTAGTAAAAATAATGTATGCCGAAAATCTGTCACAATGAAATGTAATAACATTGTACCCGATTCGCAATAAGGTCCCACCAATGATCACTCTTTTCTGTACACCAAATTGACCTTTGCTGGCTGGAGAGGCTGATTCTTGAGACGATAGTCAACAGTGCCATGACAAACATAACACAATCGTGAGACTGACTTGGCCTGAAATCGCCACCAAAATTCACGTCCTCTTCTGGCTGATACAGCTCAATGTTGCCTCGCTGGCAGACAATTTATCTGCTGTCTTGACTCAAGCACATACTGACGTTGCCTTGCCTCATTTTCTTAGTATTTTCGTCTTCGCAATTGCATAAAAAACATTAAGAGCGATTCGTACGGGATGTCAGCAGCAATGATGCTACGTTGCATTGTGGAATTTGTAAAGGTCACGCATGCGCAGAATGCAGATTACTGCACTCACCCCGGCTCAAGGCATGGCAAGTGTGAACTGCTCCTCTTCATTGCAGGGTTGAACTTGTCCAAGTTGAAATAAGCCCGGGTTTGCAAAAGACAAGTGCGAAACGACGCCGCACTGAACGTGGGGTTGAATATAAAAAGTTCAACCTGGGGCAGTGATGGGTTCGCCCCAGGTTGAGCAGCTGTAGTGTGAAAAGGTCTTTATATGTTTATACATGCTGCGTAATGAGTATAGGCACATAACACAAGGCATGTACATAGTGTGGGTCAGTGGGTTATAATGGTAAGAATCAAGAATGGTACAGGGATGCACTGCAAACAAATCCAGACAAGGATCTCAGTTTAGGCTAGACTTATGTTCTTGAATCTCAACTGCTTTGCAGACATGCCGTGTCCATTTGCCCAAGATCCTAGGTTACATTTACCATCAGTATATTCAAGTATCATCTCTGAGTCTTCCCACTACCCACCTGATGGCGTTTTGTGTCGACCTAGCCTCTTCTTTGTCATTGAGGTTACATATACTTGTACACAAAGTCCACAGTGTTACTTTGTATGCAGCTACATTCTCATGGCAACAAAGGCCATAATAAATGATACACATACAATATATACGTGTCTCAAAATAACAGTTAGGTCACTATTGAGACTATATTGTCACTATGTGTGGATGTTTTAATTGACATACTAAAAGCAAAGTGCATTTCACAATAAAATGTTGAGTTGTATGTATGTGGGTTTTTTAACATCACTCATTTGCAGGCACCTATGTATTGCACATCAGTGTCATTTTAATAATCCCTCATGATGGTAGCCATTTTATGCAGTCTTCCATTTCTAGATCTGAAAAATATTTTTGGGTAGACTGATTAACACAGTATGACACATTGTAAACTCACCAAAGCATTTACTCTGATTAGTGCAACGATCAACAAACACTTTGGAACTGATGACATTGCCAAAGGGAAGGAACATCTGCATCAATTCAGCATCACCAAACTCTTGAGGCAAGTGATAAATGAACAAATTGCAGCCTTCAGGACCAGCAAGAGAAAAGCGCACTGGTGACATCACGGACGCTGGTAAGAAAGACAAAAAGTACAAAATGGAAAGGTGCATAATTTCAACAATTCTTGTATTTTTCTAAACTTCTCTTCCAAAGTTAAGTGATGACAAAACTGTAACACAACAGCTGAGAGTAAAACAAAGAAACTAAATAACCTCTCTGTTCCTTTAATTGATTTTCCTACATTTCCTACAAAGATAATGATAACTATTAACTATAAACTGAATGTGGAGTGTGAGACATTTACTTGGTGGCAGAGTGAATGCAACAGGGATGCATTTTGGTCATTTTGGGGTCACAGCAATGGTATTGCTTAACCAACTTTCAGGGGCAATCACACAAGAGTGTGCATGAAGTTGATGAAGATCGCATGCATAGTCACATCCCCCTGTATGTCTTATATACTTGGCCTGCCTACTCAATGTTCCACAAAAGATGTAGCAAGTAATGGTAGACTGCATACTAAGGTAGGCTTTCCCCAATTACCCTGTAACAGGTACATGTAGAGTTGGCTTTTCAACATACATGTACATGAAGTTGCAGAGAAGCCTTTCTGTTTGTGTTTTTCTATCCCAAATGCCAACGACTTTATACACAGGTTTTCTGTATTGGACTCTGGATAAGTTGCAATTTTGGATATCAAGCAAGGCCCAAAGAAGACCTTATAGCACTAAAACAATAATGCCATTATGGCATCAACATGAGTCACGTGACATGCCCTTGAGGGTGCATTTTTTTCAACTATGGAACTACAAGTTAAACACAGATCAAACTTGGTATGCTCAAAGAGCTGGGACAGTTGTAGACAAAAATTGGAGTCACTTCATGATGACATGATGAAGTGATTTGAAGTTTTTGTATTATCATTCTTTTCAACCAACAGTATCACCTGAATGAAACAAGGTAATTTTGAGATTCTTCTTGTAAGACCTTTAATAATAAAAGCAGACGTGTAGGGTTTGGGGATGGATGGATGTCACTACTCCATCACCATCACCAAAAATTGTACTTTTTCAAAAACTGAAAAAACAATCAAGGGCAGATCCCGAACCAAAGTTTTTTGGTGGGTGTCAAAATCATTTTTTTTGGGGGGGGGGAAATATGACGTTTCTTTATGGAACCTTTATGCTCCTTTTGGGAGAACTCAAGGCTTTTACTAGCCCCCTCTTTATCTGCCTGTGTGCACAACTGTCAGAAAGTAAATGAAAGATACGAAATGTTGCTGGAAATATCTAGAGAATATGTTGTAAAACATTGGGAAAAATCAAATGTTTGTCCTTTCAAGCTTGAAGTTTTCTGCAACTGCAAGTGGAAAAATCCTTATTTGGAGGGTGCCTCAGTTTGGCTTGCACAAACAACATCACAGTAATTAATGTAAGGTAGAAGTCCTGCATGCAAATACTTGCAACTGAACCAGCTGTGAATTTTTGTGTAATCTTCTGATTAAGTTGGTGCAGAATGAACGTGTGCATAAAAGTTTGTCTTCGCACAGAACAGGCCTTGTCCCTGAACACAATAAATCAGTCCAGAAAACACTTTACTATTGGGCACATTTTATAACTAGAATGGTGGAGTCACCATGGCTCGCTGTTTCATATGAATCTAAATTTCTTTACCTAAAAAGCAGTTCATATTAAGAGAAATCCATGCACATTACAAATTGCACTGAAATTAAACAAGGAAAGATGCTATCAAAGTGCAAGCTTGCCACTATTTTAAAAATAAGCTGATAAATGACTACATAATGATGTAGGTTTCACGCCCCACCCCATCATCTCCAACTCGGCCTCCCCATCTTATCAGTCCATTCATCTCCAACTCCGCCTTCCCCCATTCCACCATCCCATCCATCTCCGACTCCGCCTCCCCCATCCTACCAACCCATTCATCTCCAACA